GGGGGTGCCGGTCCCTGCTCCACCGCTTTTCCCTTCCGTGCTGCGCGGAATCAGGCAGGAAACCCGTCCCGGGGGTCCCCCCTGCACACCTCTCCATAAGCTGGATGATGGCAGAGACTCATTCCCAACAGGACGAGAAGGTGCTGAGCACCTTCTGACTGACCCCACCGTGGGTGGCCGCGCGGGGACGAGCACCCGCGCTCCCGTGTCCGCGGCTCCTCCCGGGTCCAGCAGCTGCCCCTGCAGCCCCGGGGGGCGTGGGGAGCAGGGCGAGGAGCCCTGTGCCCTCGCACCTGCAGCCGGCTTGGAGTTGAACCCCTCTTAATGATCAAACACCATTTTTGTCTAAGTGTTTGTCAGCAGATGAAGAAAATGTCCTGCTTTATGGGGGTTATTCAGGGGATTAATTAGTTGATGTTTCTTCAAGTACTTTGAAGATGTGGAGTGCTAGATAAGTGCTGCGCTTCGTGAGCTGATCAGGTACTGTGGTTGTTTTGCCATTTTCCTTCTCATTTTCAAAGCTTTTGTACAAAACCAATTCCACACAACACGTGGTTACTGCTGGTGATGGGTGGGCAGCAGAGCCCCCCGCCCACCCTGTGATTTCATGGGTTACCAGATGTGTCCCAAAGGCCTAACTCTCCCCATGTTCCCAGGGGCCCCTTCGTGCCTCAGTTCCCCAGCCCACAGGACCTGTTCCCATCAGCAGGGGTAGCCACAGTCACCACGGGCAGGCGGCAGCATTCGGGTGTGCAGCAAGAAACTCCCACCACGGCGTGGCAGGGATGTGATCCAGGGCTGACCCTGAGCTGGGGGCTGCACCTCCTGGGCAGCCCAGGTAGAGAAATCCGGTTTCCTCCCATTTCTGGCTGTTTTTCTGTCACAGAATCCAGCACAGGGTCTCGACTCTTTCAGAGGGACCGTGCAAGTTGTTTTGGGCAGGTCAACATTCACTTCTGCTCCTCACGGGGAGCCTGAGCCAGGGCAGTGATGAGGGATTCATGCACCTCCTGGCATAGCAAGGAAAAGCCTAATGAATACTCTCCCAAGAGATTAAAAGACTTGACAAACACAGGATGCTTCTCACCAGCGGGACTCTGGGAGCTGCTGTGCAAGGCTGAGCCCCATCCTGCTCAGGTTGAGTGCCTGTGTCTCAGGGCAGTGTCAGGTTTTGAGGACTTGTTTCAGGTTAGAAGACAGATTCTGGTGCAGAATCGTTACTGCAACATCAATTTAAATTCAAGCTAGAGAAATCATTGGTGTAGTTATTTACAACTGTGCAGTTTCTGAAAATCATATTTCTGTTATCATAGTTATCGATCTTGAAAAGGGCTTTAAATTAACTTGACAGTTCACATAGTTCTTCACACTTGGATAATTTCTCTGCTTGACTTGCACTGTGTGTTGAACTTTCAGCACCATCCAATTACAGTCATTCAAAGTGTGTATTTAAACATTTTTCTTATGCAATCATAAGATATTTTAATTATAATGCAGAACTAGAAGCAAGTTACAGTTGGACTTGATGATCTTAAAGGTCTTTTCCAACCAAAATGATTCTATGATAACATCAAACCCCCTCCATGTTGCAGAATAGCCTGTTTCCAGGTGGATGTGGAGGACACCAAAAGCCTGGCTTTGTGTCACTGCGGGGGGCAAGGACAGGCAGCCTGGAGCCCCCCAGTGCTCAGCAGGGCTGACACCTCTCTGGGGACAGGATGCAACCCTCGTCTGGCCAGACCTACTCACAGTGTCACTTGTGCAGTGTTTGTCCCCAGAACTGATCTGATGGGAAAAAAAGGACATTTAACAACACACTGACACCTCATAATTCATCTTCTATGCTCTCAGGACACTGTGACAGGAATGGACCACAGCAAACCCAGGTTTCTGGGGAGTTCATGGTATGTCTGGCCAGAAATGGGGCAAATCCTGCACCCTCCAAGGGTGTGGTGCAAGCAGCAGTGTGGGACAGTCACCAATGGGTGACACAGTGGGGACTGGAAGGACATGGTGTGGTGCCACAGCTGCCACACAGCTGCCTGCTATGGCCCCAGCCCTGGGGATGGGTTCTTGAGCTCTGGGAGCACCACAGCTGCCACACCAAGGGGTCCCAGAGCCCATCCTGTCCTGCCCCATCTCTGAGTGTTGTGGCTGCAGGGCCATGCAGGGATTTAGCACCAGTGAAACAGGGACAGGAAAAGGGACCCTGGGCCTTGTGGGAAGGGTTTGTGGCAATTCTGTGGCTGCAGGGGGGAAGACAACTCTGCTTCATTAGAATTGAACTCAGAAAATCACAACATCTGGTGCTTGCTGGCTCAGACGCCTCCACAGCCTGCGAGGAAAATCTCCAGTTGTCTTCTCAGATTAAGAGATTTTGCACTTTACTCACTGTTTTGTACATGCAAAACAGGCTGGCCCTGACTGGGCTCAGAGGTCTCCTTGCTACAGCAGAAACCTGTCCCAAGCCCCAGCTTAAATCCCTGCCTAAAACCTTGGCCAAAACCCCCGTCTGAAGCCTCACATAAATTCCTGCCTGAAGCCCCAGCCCAATCCCCCAACCCAGTCCCCCTGCCCAGACCCCCAGCCCGAGGAGCCATCTGCTGCTCTGCCCAGCCCTGCATGGACCCTCCACCCTTGGGAAGTCTGTTAGGGGTGACTCCAGGACACTGTGGAGCTCCTGGCTCTGGCAGCCTGGCCCCAGCCCCTCATGCTCCCCCCAAGCAGATGGCTGCAGCTCGCTGCATAGTATTTATTCGTTGTATCACAGAGAATACAATTTTGTTAAGTTAGTCCAGGTTTCTGCAGGGTGGTCCTGGGCAGGGATGCCTGGTGCTGGTGGGTGAAGGGTGGCTGGGGTCCAGCATTTAATAATTTCACAGTGATGGGGCAGAGGTGCTGTCCCGTGCCAGGGCCGGCTGTGCCCGTGGAGTGGGATGGGCAGAGCTGCACTTGCCAGGGCAGGGGGGCAGCATGTGGGGATGTCCTGCCATAGCCCCTCACACCTCCAGCTTCTTCTTCATCTCCATGCGGTAGATGATCTGGTATCCATCGTCCCAGGCGTAGATCTGCCTCTCCCGGGGGCTGTACTTCATGCTGGAGTGGGACCCGTAGCGCTTGGGGAAGTAGAGGAGGGAGGCGTCCTCGGGGGCCAACGTGCCGCTGACGTCAAAGACGCACTGCACCCGGGAGCGGCTGGGCAGGCGCGTGTTGTAGACCACGTGCAGGGCCCCGCACACCACGAAGGCACCCTCAGCATTCTCCCGTGGGCACGGCGTGTCCCACATCTGCTCAATGTCCAGTGAGGTGGGGTCCAGCTTGGCCAGGCAAATGTTCTTCTCATCCTCCTTGGTGGCATAGATGGCCCAGAGCCCCTCCTCATCTGCTGCCACCTCTATATAGGTGAAGGGGGAGAGCCCGAAGACAGGGATCTGCTCCTCAGCTGGGAACACCGAGCTGTCCACTACCGTCTTGTTGGCAAGGCTGAACTTGATCACCTGGAAGGACCCCTGCTGGCGGATGTAGTATAGATGCCCATCATAGACAAGGTGCCCAGTGCCCACCCAGGGGTAGGGCAGCTTGATGCGGGCGGCCTTGCGGGTGGCAGAGAAGAGGGTGAACTCCCGCAGGCGAGGGAAGACGTACACTGTGTCGTTGGAAGTGCCGTCGAAGACATAGATCTTCTCGGAGTTCCCTGCAGCATCCTTGGTCCAGAGCCCAGAGGTGCTTCCAAAACGCTTCTGGATTTTCATGGCTCTGATGCTGGCGATGGTGTCGCTGCAGTCTGCAAGAGTGGGGCAGCTGTGAAAGCCTGAAACCACCCGGCCCTGCAGCAGGGCCTGCTCCAGCCCCACAGCATGTGGGAAGGCCCACGGTGACCCTGCACCCAGGGTCACACCCCAGGGCAGCCCTCACCTGTCAGCTTGGTGTACTTCTCATTCTTCCTCTGCTTGGCTGTGGCCACCTGCTTCTCCATCAGCGTCTCGTCCACCTCCACGCAGGGTGGCGCGGGGTTCTGTGTCTCCAGGTAGTCCACCTCACGCTCCAGGCGGTCCAGGCGCACCGCTGCACTCTCTGCCTCTGCCCGAATCGCCTCCCGCTCCTTCTCCGCCGTCTCAAGCATCCCCAGCACCTGGTTCTTGAAGTCCCGCAGCTCCGTCGAGTAGCGGCTGCTCTGGTCATGCCACTGTGAGATCCTCTCCTGGGGCAGACAAGGGTACACAGGGGTCTCCACCCTTCAGAGCCCATCCATGGCAGTTGCCCCACTGCCCGTGCTGTGGGAGCTCCTGGGACCACATAGCACAGCAGCCCTGATGGCGTGTCCCTTGGCCCCATCCTGCCATGCTTCGGC